TAAAGCAAAGATACGCTAAACAGTAAATCTTATGCAAGAACCGATAGGAATGCTAACATGGATAAATAAACCAGCACGCAACAGTTTTCATCAACCCTTCCTTGAAGTGTCAAATTTGACAATGAACCCCTCCCACGTGTATGGCGCTATTGCTTGTCGCATGTGCAGCTCAGTGGTTTTGTTAGGGCGATAAGTTCTTCATCTGTGAACATACTCTCAAAGCATGTCAAGTGTCCATGACTATTTATCATATCACAACCTGCATTTCAATATCCCTTACTTTTTTTGAAGAGTATATATCAACCAATTTTATTAATAGTAGATAAACAGGCATGTAGGCCTATCACAGATTAATATTGTATCAACAATAAATACTTCTTGAATGCAGCTTTAAAGCTGTATAGTGAATCTATAGACTTAATATCATTCAGTAAATCATTCCAGATACTTATGGCGGTATAATAAAATGATGCGAACTGATCTCTACCCGTGCATTTTGGAACAGCACACCATTCAGAACATGTCAATGATAACAACTCTTCCAGATCCCAATGCAGTAAAGACAAACGAAATTTTGAACTATAACAAGCCAACAGTGAGGCTGATGTCCCCCGCCGAAATAGGAAAATAATTAGAGGACACATATAAATTTATCACAAATTATCTTTTACAAAGTATTGAACAATCAAACAGTATATCTTTACTTATAGTCTAAGCATACAATGTTTTTGATGGAATAATTATAGCATATTAAGGGGAAAACATACTCAATTCGAAGGAGAGTTATTGTGTTCCAAAGTCTCAGCAAATCAAATTGCTTATCGCTCTGCTTAATCTGAGCAGAAAATGCTCATTATCGATCTTAGTCAAGGTATTACTGTAATGAAACTATACACCAAGTTTCATCACTCTCACTTAATTAGAACTAAAGTTATAGTGTCCCAAAGCATCAACCAATCAAATTGTTTATCTACTTAATTAGAACTAAAGTTATAGTGTCCCAAAGCATCAACCAATCAAATTGTTTATCTCTGCTTACCCTAAGCGGAACGGACAGACAAACAGACAGACGGACGAACCCATTTTAATAGTTCCCTGCTTTCTTCGAAAGGCGGGGGACAATAAGCATGAACATTTACTCAATTCGAAGATCAACCAATCAAATTGTTTATCTCTGCTTACCATAAGCGGAACGGACAGACAGACAAACAGACAGACAGACGGACGAACCCATTTTAATAGTTCCCTGCTTTCTTCGAAAGGCGGGGGACAATCAAAGTAGGAGAGTTATTGTTTTCCAAAGTCTCGACCAATCAAATTGCGTATCGCTCTGCTTACCCTGAGCAGAAAATGCTCAATTATCAAACTTAGTCAAGGTATTACTGTAATGAAACTATACACCAAGTTTCATCAATCTCACTTAATTAGAACTAAAGTTATCGTGTCCCAAAGCATCAACCAATCAAATTGCTTATCTCTGCTTACCCTAAGCGGAAAATGCTCATCTTCGAACTCCATCAAGGCATTGACCTAATCAACACATACACCAAGTTTGAACATTCTAGCTCAATTAGGAAGAGAGTTATCGTGCCCCAAAGTATCAACCAATCAAATTGCTTATCTCTGCTTACCCTAAGCGGAAAATGCTCATCTTCGAACTCCATCAAGGCATTGACCTAATAAACACATACACCAAGTTTGAACATTCTAGCTCAATTAAAAGTTATCGTGTCCCAAAGCATCAACCAATCAAATTGCTTATCTCTGCTTACCCTAAGTAAGCAGAAAATGCTCATCTTCGAACTCCATCAAGGCATTGACCTAATCAACACATACACCAAGTTTGAACATTCTAGCCCAATTAGGAAGAGAGTTATCGTGTCCCAAAGCATCAACCAATCAAATTGCTTATCTCTGCTTACCCTAAGCGGAAAATGCTCATCTTGGAACTCCATCAAGGCATTGACCTAATAAACACATACACCAAGTTTGAACATTCTAGCTCAATTAGGAAGAGAGTTATTGTGTCCCAAAAAGTGTGACGGACAGACAGACGGACAGACAGACAGACGGACGGACAGACGGACAGACAGACGGACAGACAGACGGACGAACCCATTTTAATAGTCCCCTGCTTTCTTCGAAAGGCGGGGGACAAAAACAAAACGAAATAGGATCTGTGTTTTAGTCAGATTGTATGTTCTAAAACAAAATCACATAGCAAGCACGCCATATATTTCTTAATTTTTATTTAATATTTCTCTCAGTGTTATAATTTAGAACGAAAGAGAATAGTCCATACATTAGTAATGTAGGTCTTGTATATTTAAACTTTTATCAGAATAAATTCTGTTAATCTCACCACATATTAGCACCTTTGTATTAGTGCTCAGGAGATTAAAAATATTGATTAAGTAATCGAGTTTTGTTTCTTGGTTATCAAAGAAGCCGTCACAGCTATACGTGTATTCTGTTACCTTCATAACACGACTCAATTAAAATAAGGTTTTGCATGTACGATAGATCTACTGTTATTTTCAGGTACCGTCAACAAGAGATATCGCATATTTTTACGGTAATGAAACATTTATAATACACTAAAATCTGATTAAGAGTAACAACTCTTTGTTTGGCTTTTATAAAGTTCTGCCCCATGCTAACGTTTAGTATACGGTACATTTAATATCATGGATTTAGCTGTTCAAGTTATCAAAATGGATTTTAAAATCAAATACAAATTGTGACCTCTAGAGGGTCCCTTAACTAAAAGATAGTTTGCCAGGCAAAAAAAAAAAAAGATAGGTACCCAACGAAACATACGCCCACAGCAGGTCAATCGTAATGCACTGCGCGGGGTGTTTGGGCTGCAAATTTTTACATATTGTATGGGTTTTAAAACTTGTTTGTATTCGTTAAAATTGGGATTATCGGTAATACTTTGGCCACATTTATAAACTAGAGATTCGCGGCTTCACAACGATGCCAAGTATTATGTAAGGAGACTGGCCGGTTGTTCCGCTGCATTATCTATTTTTGAAATATAGTCAGCATGGTCAGCTCTTTATCTAAATTTTACATAATGCTTCAAAATATTAGTATTGAACATCCTTTACGTTTCAATATTCCAGACCCCGTGGTTGATAGCTATCTTAAAATGTTGTGGTTTAGTTAACAGGAATACTAACCAATTAACTTAAATACTCACTTTATGATTATTACTGACCATTTATAGGAATACTGACGTACCTTGCAAATACTGACAGGTTAAAGCTACTACTGACAACGCGTACATTTCTCACAAGTTTCCATGAATAGCAACCACAATAAACTTACTCTGCGTGATTTGATGACATTTTAACACAGAAACCAGTTAGTAAAAGCTCAGAGATCAGTTCTACACACTATCCATCCAGCTGTGTGAATGGATTTTAAAATCAAATACAAATTGTGACCTCTAGAGGGCCCACAAACTAAAAGATAGTTTGCCAGGCAAAAAAAAAATGATAGGTTGCCCACCAAACATACGCCCACAGCAGCTAAATTGTCTGGGCAGTCAACAAGAGATGTCGCATATTTTTACTTTTTTTCGGTAATGAAACATTTATAATACACTAAAATCTGATTAAGAGTAACAACTCTTTGTTTGGCTTTTATAAAGCTCTGCCCCATGCTAACGTTTAGTATACAGAATATTTAATATCATGGATTTAGCTGTCCAAGTTATCAAAATGGATTTTAAAATCAAATACAAATTGTGACCTCTAGAGGGTCCACAAACTAAAAGATAGTTTGCCAGGCAAAAAAAAAAGATAGGTAGCTAACAAAACATACGCCTACAGCAGCTAAATCGCATATTTTTACTTTTTTCGGTAATAATACATTTATAATACACTAAATTCTGATTAAGAGTAACAACTCTTTGTTTGGCTTTTATAAAGTTCTGCCCCATGCTAATGTTTAGTATACGGAACATTTAATATCATGGATTTAGCTGTTCAAGTTATCAAAATTCATTGAAAATCAATATACTTCTTCGTTTCAAGACCTTAAACTCTGTGTTTCAAGTTGAAAACCTCTACAGTGTTCACAAGCTAAAAACGTGATTTTTCGTACAATCAAGGGCCATAATCCATGAAGTTACAGTCCGATACATGCCAATATCAAAGGGAACCGAGATCATAGTGGGATAACCCTATATTTTAAGTTTCATTGAAATCGGATAAAAATTGTGACCTCTAGAGTGTTCACAAACAATTGAGGACGGACAAATGGACGGACAGGGGCGACGACAATATACGTCCACATGAAAATGTGGGTGGTTAAAAAGGTTACAAATCCGGGAAAAAACGACTTTCTTCCAACGCGGGCAATGGAGCTATGACATCTAGTATAAGTTTCAAATCAATCGGAAATTAACTTGTGATCATAAGGGTGCTGTATCATAAAGCCTGTCATTGAGTCAACTGGCGTGATTTCGAATCCCCGGTTGTACTTGACAAGGAGTAGGGTCGCCTGTCAGACCTCGTGGGTTTTCTCCGGGTCCTCCGGTTTTCAAAGTGATCAAGGGCCATAACTCTGGCAAATCAATAGGATTCTTCGTCTCATGACCTTAAACTTTGTGTATCTATTTAAAGTCAATCGGATATTAACTTTAGCCTCTAGAGCGTCCACAAGATTTTTCAAAGTGATCAAGGGCCATAACTCTGGCAGTAATTATCGGAAATCGCTGAAAATCAATAGGCTTCTTCATCTCAATGTGGGCGTATAAAAACCATATGTTAGTCCCGAAATGACCTAGTTTGTGTCTAGGCTTCTTCGTCTCATGACCTTTAACACTGTGTATAAATTTAAAGTCAACTGGATATTTACTTTAGTCTCTAGAGCATCCACAAGCAATTGTGGATGCCAGACGGACGGACGAGGGCGACGACCATATACGACCACATTTCAATGTGGGTGTATAAAAATATATCAAAATATTTGCAATAATTTTTACATACCTTCTCTAAATGTAGTGGGGAAGCGCGTAATAATTGTTCACCATTTTTAACCCATCTCTTACAATCTACTAAATACATGTTGAGTCCAATATCATTTAACCATGCTGTCACACGATCTCCATCCCATCTAGCAAACGGGATATCCAGATCACTAAAAATAAAAGAATATACCTCATTCAATATAGAGAGAAAGAGAAATGGAGTTCAACGTCCACTCGACACAAACTAGGTCATTTCAGGACTAACATTATAACATATGGTTCAATTTTTATTTCAAGAATTCGCTTGTGAGTAGGGTCTCTAGCAGTGGGAGGAGAACCTGGAGAAAACCCACAAGGTTAGACAGACGACCCTACTCCTCGTCACGTACAACTAGGGAATCGAAACCACGCCAGCTGACTCAATGAAAGACCTTATGATGCAACGCTCATGTGCCAACAATTTGTCCATCCAAACCCCCTCATTCAATATACATGAAATTACATGAAATTCATACAAGACAATTTCAAACAGATCAGATGATAAATATCGTTGTTTGCGGGTTCACAAGTTTCTACAAACTGAAACAAGGGCCTTAACTCTGGAAGTAATAAACATAAACTGCTGAAATTCAACAAGTTTCACTAATCTAAATGATGCTTATAAATTTGGTACAGATCGGATGATAACTTTTGATGTTCAAGAGTTCAAAAGTTTCAACAAAGTGAAACAAGGGTCATAACTCTAGAAGTAACTAGAACTGTGATGCAGTAATGACAGGTTTCACCGGTGCCCCGTTACCCTTGAACATATGTCACTTTCGGTACGGATGAAACCATTAAACAGGTTTCCATATAAGCATTGCACACATCAAATAAAATGTATGCAGAATCAACCAAATCCAGCAATATCAATTCATTGTATACATTTGTTACATGTAAGTGATCCTGACAAAATTACATTACTTCCGGTGATAATGAAAATGTTAAATTAGTTTTATGAAATCAGAAATGGCATAAGGCATCACATGGTGAAAATTGTATGTAAATCGAATAATAATTGCCACTTTTATAGATCAAAAACCTTGAACAGTGACTTGTAGAAAATCGTCTATATTTCTCTGCAACCGTACAAGTTAGAAACCATTTTTTGGTATCTGTATGATCGTATGGGTTCAATCTATTTGTTGATTGGAATCAAATATCATAATTTTAAAAACATTACAAATCAGACTCATTCGAATAAAATATCTGTTTTATAGGCTAAAAATACAGTTTTTGCCCAAATTACATCATTTCCTGTGACATTGAAAATGTTAAACTGGTTTGACCTAGTTAAAATTGACATTACACATCTAATGGTGTCACTTTTATGAAAATCCAATAATTGACTCTTTTACAGGCAAACAAGCGTAAATAGTGACTCATACGAAATTGACCATTTCTCGGCAACTGCTCATATTACAAACTAATAGCTCATTTTTTCACCTTTAAATCGAAATGACCCGAAAACGAAATTGAAATTAAAAAAACTGAGCCCGATTTTTTCTGCGCCTTTACAGGGAACACCCTTTCAAGTCAGACCAGATTTGAAAAAAATAATATTTGCTTTCAAAAAGTGGTACCGAACAGTCAAAATTGTAGTTTTTGCTAAATTTACGTCGAACAATAAATAATTAATCCAGGACTGAAAAACTAAATTAGACAATGGGGGCCAAGGAAAAATATGGTGACAAAAAATGTTGCCATTTTTGGTAAAATCAGATGACTCTTGAACCCTGGGTAAAATACCACATAAAAATATTTATTAAAAAAGAAGTTTTTCGTAAAAATTTTAATTTTCAAAATTTGGCGCCTAATACCTCTGAAGATTCGTCAAAATGTTTCAAATATTACAATCCAACAATTATTGATAACATTACGGTAAAATTTCGAAATACGACAAATTTGTTGTGATTTTTTTCCTACAATCAAGGGCCATAATTCAGGAAATTACAATTCGATATGCGTAAATATCGAAAGGAACCGAGATCTTTGTGTTATAAACTTACATTTCAAGTTTCAACAAAATCAGATAAAAATTGTGACCTCTATAGGGGTCAACAATCTTGATATACCAAGAATTTCCGATAACCGGTAGATTTTAACATGTACCGGTATATAATCTTTCCATCGGTCCGTGGGACCGGTAAACATAAACGTCAACAAATTAACTGCTCTACTTTATCTCTCCATTCATCTCTCGTGTCAAAAGCTTCGTGGCAATGGCTGTCAAACAGCGGTGCTATTTATAGTAAGTATGTCGTTTTTTCCGTCTGGATAATCGCTGCTCAATGTCGCCGTGACCTTCACAATATGGCGTCAAAGCAGACGAATCTTTCGTCTTTTTTCAACGGAGGCGGTGATAACAAACGCAAAAGAAATATCGGCGACGATGAGTCTGTCGTCGCTGATAATAATGATGCTCCCTGCCCCAGCACATCGAAAGCTTGTAAAACTGCCCCTGTGCAAGCACCTAAGGCAAAGCAGTTCCAACAACAGTGGCATGAAGATTCTCTTCATATATTATTGGACTTTTTCTGTAAAGATATTCATGACAGTAATGTAATAATTGATCGTGCGCGTGCAACCTGTGATTTCATCCAATTCAAGCGAGTGTTATTCGGTCTGGGGACAAATTGCTTGAAGACACCTGTCAAACTATTATTTCAGATTTTTCCGATCTATTTCCAGACTTTGGAACATTAGCTGTTATAGCCTTGGTAGTTCCTGTCAGTAGTGTACCAGCAGAGAGGGGTGTTAGTCTGCAAAATTTAATACACACGTCTCTGCGTAATCGTTTATCGCAGCGCCGTATGAATAACCTAATGACCCTGAACATGCACGCACACAATTCTGAAGCTTGTCCGTTTAATTTTGGAAAGGCCCGACAGATATTTAAGAGTTCTAAAGACAGACGTTTATAATAACATTTGTGTTTAAAGTGTGTTCAATTTGTTTCAATGGAGTGTTTATTTCAATAAATTTATAAGATTGATTAAATGTTGTTTTCATCAGACCGGTAAAATTATGAATGAACCGGTATTTCTAATCCCTACCAGTATGCCGTACAGGCAAATTTTGAAGCTAGTGGAAACACTGATACCACATTTTTACGCTATTTGAGAACGAACGGCGGCCATTTTGTCTGTCAATTTTGGGCCGATTTACACAAAATTTGAACTCAGCTACCTTAGGGTGTAAGGGTAATATAATAATACGTTTTTTTAAATCGGATAAAAATTATGACTTCTATAGGGTCCACAAGCTAAAAACAAGATTTTTTGTACAATCAGGGGCCATAATTCAGGAAGTTAAGGTCCGATATGCGCGAATATCGAAAGGAACCAAGATCTTTGGGTTATAAACTTATATTTCAAGTTTCAACAAAATCGGATAAAAATTCTGACCTCTACAGTGTTCACAAGCTAAAAACGTGATTTTTCGTACATTCAGGGGCCATAATCCATGAAGTTACAGTCCGATACATACCAATATCGAAAGGAACTGAGATCTTTGGGTGATAAACCTATATTTCAAGTTTCATTGAAATCGGATAAAATTGTGACCTGTAGACTGTTCACAAACAATTGTGGGCGTATAAAAACAACAACTTCGTTGATTTCGGACTTAGATTTAATCTCTAAGTCATGCCGACTTTCCCGTAATAGCAAAGATATGGGATCGATTCGACAAGTAGTTTCTGAGATATGCTTAAGTGGAAAATAAAACGGCCAACAATTGGTAAAAACAATCATCACTAGAACTGCGAAGCAGTAATGAGGGGTTTCACTAGTGCAACGTTATAGTCCGATCGTTAATGTAAATCTGTCGGCTTTTCGGGTAGAAATCGTGGAATAAGCTTTATTTTGTAGGTTTTGATGTTTGATTACAAAAAACCAATGTTGACATTTTTTTTGAGTAGGTCTTCATAGTATTGGAGGCCATTATTTGAGGGAAGCCATTTTGCGATAATATTCCAAATTATTTTTTATTTTCACCTTATTTATAATGTTATCGACATATCAACTGTGATTTGGCAATGTATTAATATTGGCTGCATTCATGACTATATCTCAGATTGTTTTCCATCATTTCATGATGATATTTCCAAGATGGCGCCCATTTTTAGCAGAAAAATCGGTTGATGTGTTGATTTCGATTATGTAGTAGTCTTTGGTGTCAATATATATATTTTCGGGGGCACAGATTCCATTCCTGACATTTACAACCCTGTAAAATGATCACATGTTCATATACTTAGCATATTACCAAGATGGCGGGCATTTTTGGCGGGAAAATAAGACGATGTGCAGATTTTGATTAAGTGATAGTGTTTGGTGTCAATACATGTATATATGTTTACAGGGGCGCAGAATCAATTTCTGACATTTACAACCTTGTAAAATGATCACATGTTCACATATTTAGTATATTTCCAATATTGCTGCCACTTGTGGCGGGAAAATCGGACGATGGGTTGATTTCGATTAAGTAGTTGTCTTTGGTGACAATATATATGTTTTCGGGGAGGCAGATTCGATTTCTGTCATATACAACTACGTAAAATGGTTGTATGTTCACCAATTTAGCATATTTCCAAGACGATGGAACGTTTTCTAAACACATTATTAGCATTTATTTATCATCGATTTTCCTGGGAAAGTAAAGCCTATTCCTGGAATGAAGGCAAAAAGAGCATAGCGGCAGCGTGGTGCTTACGCCACGTGCCCATCATGCACCTGCAACGACCACACCAAGCGCTTACTACAATTAAGATCTTTCTACGCTCATGGCCAAAACTGGCTGCGCGAAAAGTGTTCACACCATGATCTCGCGGTCAAACCGGAAGACTTTCTCACCACACTCCAGTGACGTGCCTACCAGGCGTAAGGAGTTCTCTTGCCACGCCTATAGAGACTGTGCCATGCTCACCCGTCCTCATTCACTTTCAAAGCAGAAAACAACCAATAGTCAAGCAATCAAGAACATTTCATAGTTTTCTTGAGGTTTCCTCTTTGGGTGCTAGACTGAAGCTGACGGACGAGGCTCAGTATCTTCCCTATATATACATAAAGGTCGTAACAGCGTAGAAAGCATATGGCCAGGAGCTTCATTCCAGCCTGGCAGCAAC